CCAATGGCGGTCCCTAAGCCCCTGAAGTAAGCAACCGCTTTCTTCGATTCGATTTTGCAATTTATTTCGTTGAGACTTGAGGGATTGCTCCCACTACGTACTGTGTTAGCGTCTCTATCTATGGGTTATAATAGACGAAAAAGGAATGTTTGCGTAGGCTGGCAAAGTATCGGTTTAGCAGACATGGGATAATCGTGGGCCGTACACTAATGTATCAGTAGGAAAATCGTCTATTATGCCTAACCCGATTGCGTTTAGTTACATTCTCAATTTTCTGAAATCTAGCTGCTCTAAATTGGATATTCACTCTTCAGTGTAAGATGGGATGGGACAAGGGAGTCAAAATGTAATAGAGGTAATCTCTAGCCAAAGGAGGTTCAATTTAGATTTTTTTTCTGTCAGCGCTTCCAGATATACGGTATAATAGCTAGTCTATAATATGGCAATTGGACCATATATACATGTACATGTAGCTACGTACCTCTTCCCACAATCCCTACAAACAGCTACAAACAATAAATGTTTTTACATACATGTAGTTGGTCACTGAAACAATTGCATGTTGGATACTAAAACAAATGTATGGCATGGGAAACTGTATGTGTATATCTGTACGTGTATGTGTGTATGTGTACATGTATGTGCAAAGGCGCGGGCGCATGCTTGCAGTGGGTCTGTGTGAAATTGATAAGCATTTAGAAAATATTGATGAAAACTTCACAGACACTCAAATTGATAGTTATACTACGCAACAAGTACGATACGAGATCTCCAATAATGGTAAATTGGTTTCGAGCCTTCTGTGACGTAATCACATAGATTTTCCCCCTTGCGCACTAATCGTTCCCATTGATAGAACAGAGCGAGATGGCGCCTGACTCACACTTAATTTAGCCTCAGATCTCTAAGGAAAATAACATTTCAGTTAATTTTGTCAACAGAACAAGTGGTTGGATAGGAAATACAAGTAACGGAATTCCATCACCACTGACAGTGAAATATTCCAAAGACTGACACCATTGCGAACAATTTTTTTGCTGTACGAAAATTGTTTTTGAGAACGAGTAGATGCTTTTCTCTATTTTTTCTTTGCATGATTAACCTGTCATTTAGGTGGCACACGACATCTGCATGTGTATGGGTCAAAAAACCAACTAGATGTCAAGAAGATGAACTGTTTGGCCTCTGTAGATCACGTGACAAATGTAGCAAAACAACAAGATCCGGACTTCAGCAGACGATAAACATCGCGCGCGTGAATACCCACGATTCATTTCACAGTCAAAAGCTGATCGATGGAGGGCGTGTTATGATATTCGGCAGACATTTGCTTGAGTTAATAGCCAGTTATTGACAATTTGGTGAGAAAACAAGCACAGCTGACGAATTATTCGCCGTGGTCAAATGAGCGTGTGGAAATTTGCCACAGACGACAGAGAGGAATCTGCATACCTGACAGTCCCGTAGACCAGACTGTACAAGAACCAGGAACGCTGCCAGAACGCTGCCAGAAAAGTCGTCTGCTCATTGGAAGAACAAGACAAGAAGCTGTGTTAGACAGGGAGACACTGCATTGTACTTCTGAATTTCCTGAGACGTCTGTATCTGCTGTTCGAAATCATAAAACATTGAGTCTCTCAGAAACGGCATGAACTGTGTCAGCTCGGGAGTTTGGTGACAAGAGATAGGATCTTGGACAGACGTAAAACACAGTGTGAAGCTGCCATTTTTTGGATGGGAATTTAAGATATTACATGTACTAGATCGAGCCACACGTCGAGGAGTGTCTCCAAGAAAATACAGTTAGTCTGTTGTGTGATAATAATGTGCAGCAGACGAGTGGTGATAACGCGCAGAGAGCAGTGATAGTGCAGAAGGTACAACACAGGTGGACCGTGAACACACCACTTGAGAAAGGTTTGTCTAGGAAGCTGATTTATTCATTACGCGTTAATTCTGCGACTCGACCCACTATACATGTTACAGGTAGCGACCGGGTATTGCAATTTTAAAGTACTATTAGCCTTAAAAAAGTCATAAAGATGTGTTGATCTGTATGGCGAGTGATATTTTGAACACATTTCGGTGACGCACGAAAAAGATAAGTCAACACTTGTTCTAATATAACATCGAAGGTACAGCTTGGTTTATCCATTCCTTTAAAGAAACACAACTCACTTAACGCTATTGAATTCGCCAAAAATCGATCTCACCCCCACGTTAAAGGCCTGTATCTTTTTGAGGAAAGACGTTCTGAACACTCTATCGTTGCTTGCCAATTGAATTAGTCAAAAGCGATTTGACTCGAACTCACAGTCATGGAACGGAAAATCGGAAATGTTGTGACTAACTTGTGAGATTAGTCAGAACTGGTTTCTACTCTAAACATGTCGTCTGGGTATTTGTAACTTTCACTGTAAGGAAAGATAGTAAACCAAATTATATTATAGCGGCAAGGCTTTGAAAATTCTCCCTGTGAGTCAACATTGAAGCAAGCGCAGTTGGTTCGTTTGTAAATAGCTGGTAATTGCTTGTTAGCCAGTAGGGAGTTGAGAGTTCAACCTTATTCCTAGTCAACAGAAGATTTTTTCATTTTTTCCTCAGCGTCATATATGCCATTACTGTCTAGTGATCGAGTGATTCAGACATTTAGTTGACTATTGGCCTTCTAATCGCCTACTCGGGCTCAGTATCTAACGACATCGTACTTAGATGCGAAGAGATCAGACTGATTTATACACTAAGGGTAGGGAATTATATGCCTATAACCGTATCCGTTGGATGTCCTCACCACATAACAGTGCCAGTAAGTGGCGGATGTAGACCAATTGCCATCAGTCAACACGTCTCCAAGGTGTCACGTGCTGTATCAGTGTCGTCTGCGGTCAAATATTGCACGTGTCTCTATTAACTGTCGTCCACTTCGTCTTACTTCGAACTGGATCAGATATACTGGATCAGATATACATGTGCGTGGAAAATTTCTGTGAAAAGTGGAGATCTCCAAAACTTTGGATTCGCACCACGTCATCGTTTATTGGACCTTACTGGTTTGATGTCTTTTTAGCGTATATGTGAACAGTTTGATTTAACGGAATTCCCACGAAGTTGCCACTCAAGCTCCAGCCTGTGTCGATACCACACGAGGATAGATAGCATTAAGTGTATGTGACAAATTGCCCGCACTTCTGCTGTATTTTTTTCTATTTTGGGGTAGAGGTTACTACATTAATTTTTGAGAAACGCCATTCACCGATATTTCCTTCGAATCAAGTGCAAATAAACCGCAAGAAACCTAATATCGGACTATTAAATGAATAAGTAATGCCCAACATGCTAGCAATGATTCATATGTGTAAATACGTCGATTGAGTAGAAGCCACTACCGTGAATAATTCATTCGAATTGCATGCAATTTCGTTCCACGGTAAGGCACGACACCTTCAGGGCATTCTGAAGGCCACGGACCGAACGGACGAAGTGGGTTTTAAACGGCTCTTTTGCGTACAGAATTATCTGAAACTCTTCGTGTCTTCTGAAAGAAAAAAAGACACTTCAAGTTCCGGGCACTGTGGAATTTCGCGGCGGCATATATCTCACCAGGGTTAAGTGAAAAATCTCTACCAACGCACGGAGACAGCTACCAGTTTCGTTTCTTAGCTACCTTGGTTTTTCAATTTGAAAAGTGGTTCTAGGTTAAGAGATATTACAAAACAATTGCACACTCTGGAAAACTGAACTTTTTTATACTGGGACAGTTTCAGTGTGCTGGACATTTTATTGTATACCTTAAACAGACAGAAATATAAAAGCAAAATCTACATAAAGAAAAAACTCAAAATGGATAGCCTGGGATTAGAAGCCCACCGCGCTAGGGTGAACGACCTACGAGAAAAGATGACACGAACCAAGACAATACAAGAACCGGATCACGACCATGACGACGGGGATCATGGAGGATCCGGGGATCCGGCGAAGTCGGGCTTTAAGCGATGCCTTACGACTCTGGACTTAACCTCCTTGGGGGTGGGGAGTTGTTGCGGAACGGGGATGTACGTCGTCGCAGGTCTCGTGGCTCGGGACGTTGCCGGCCCTGGTGTTATCATATCCTTTGCCATCGCCGCCATTGCATCTATTTTGTCAGGTAAGTTAGATTAAATTAACGGTGTGCACTGCAAAGTTTGAGCTCAGTTATAGGAGAGTTTGTACTTTTCGTTCAACACTAACGTATAGGCCGCATGAACAGCTTATATTTATTNATGTCCTCACCACATAACAGTGCCAGTAAGTGGCGGATGTAGACCAATTGCCATCAGTCAACACGTCTCCAAGGTGTCACGTGCTGTATCAGTGTCGTCTGCGGTCAAATATTGCACGTGTCTCTATTAACTGTCGTCCACATCGTCTTACTAAGAACTGGATCAGATATACTGGATCAGATATACATGTGCGTGGAAAATTTATGTGAAATGTGGAGATCTCCAAAACTTTGGATTCGCACCACGTCATCGTTTATTGGACCTTATTGGTTTGATGTCTTTTTAGCGTATATGTGAACAGTTTGATTTAACGGAATTCCCACGAAGTTGCCCCTCAAGCTCCAGCCCGTGTCGATACCACACGAGGATAGATAGCATTAAGTGTATGTGACAAATTGCCCGCACTTCTGCTGTATTTTTTTTCTATTTTGGGGTAGAGGTTACTACATAAATTTTTGAGAAACGCCATTCACCGATATTTCCTTCGAATCAAGTGCAAATAAACCGCAAGAAACCTAATATCGGACTATTAAATGAATAAGTAATGCCAACATACTAGCAATGATTCATATGTGTAAATACGTCGATTGAGTAGAAGCCACTACCGTGAATAATTCATTCGAATTGCATGCAATTTCGTTCCACGGTAAGGCACGACACCTTCAGGGCATTCTGAAGGCCACGGACCGAACGGACGAAGTAGGTTTTAAACGGCTCTTTTGCGTACAGAATTATCTGAAACTCTTTGTGTCTTCTGAAAGAAAAAAAAAAAATTCAAGTTCCGGGCACTGTGGAATTTCGTGGCGGCATATATCTCACCAGGGTTAAGTGAAAAATCTCTACCAACGCACGGAGACAGCTACCAGTTTCGTTTCTTAGCTACCTTGGTTTTTCAATTTGAAAAGTGGTTCTAGGTTAAGAGATATTACAAAACAATTGCACACTCTGGAAAACTGAACTTTTTATACTGGGACAGTTTCAGTGTGCTGGACATTTTATTGTATACCTTAAACAGACAGAAATATAAAAGCAAAATCTACATAAAGAAAAAACTCAAAATGGATAGCCTGGGATTAGAAGCCCACCGCGCTAGGGTGAACGACCTACGAGAAAAGATGACACGAACCAAGACAATACAAGAACCGGATCACGACCACGACGACGGGGATCATGGAGGATCCGGGGATCCGGCGAAGTCGGGCTTTAAGCGATGCCTTACGACTCTGGACTTAACCTCCTTGGGGGTGGGGAGTTGTTGCGGAACGGGGATGTACGTCGTCGCAGGTCTCGTGGCTCGGGACGTTGCCGGCCCTGGTGTTATCATATCCTTTGCCATCGCCGCCATTGCATCTATTTTGTCAGGTAAGTTAGATTAAATTAACGGTGTGCACTGCAAAGTTTGAGCTCAGTTATAGGAGAGTTTGTACTTTTCGTTCAACACTAGCGTATAGGCCGCATGAACAGCTTATATTTATTAATCGGTACCTCAGTACGTGGCTAGGAGTTTCGTCTGCATCTCTACTCTCTTGTCTTTAGAACCTCCCCCCCCACACACACACACAGCACACTGTACTGATAACCAGTTTATTTCATAATTAATGTTACAACTTAGGCCCTGAAATATTGAAAGAGCACGGTCAAGGCCAATGAATCCTTTTTTTAAGGAAAAAGCACCTATTTAATCCAATTAGCAGGCTGTATTTTTTATTTTAAAAAAACCCAAGAAGTCAAATTAAGCGATACAGCCAACTGTATCTTCACCTTGTATAGTTTTTTCTACCCTGCGGATGTAGGCATCAACCATTCCAACGCTGTATCAGCCCTAGACCACCAGTGTAAATTATGTACGACCAATCTCCCGAGAATCGCGGGTTGCGTGTGAAGCACAGGGTCGTCAATAGCACATTACTGCGAATGCATTGTGAAAGCTAATGCACTTCATCTTTGTGCGGAAGTTGGGGTAATTCACCGACATCTAGAAGCATTTGTGTGTTAAACACACAAGCTGTTCTCTCAGAATTGTTGATAAAAGATAAGAAAGCTCAAGCACGGTAACACACTGTAGAATACGGGACAATATACACAGTGCATGTACATGTAGCAGGTCTAGTGATCTATCGCAGTCGATCAACTAAATGTACGCACAAACTTCTTGTTTTATCTATACATGTACTATATTTTATTCTCTCTGTATATATCGTGTAGTGGATGGCCGTTTTATAAATGGAAAGTTTCATCAATTAGTAGTTGTATAACTGCGGAGCGTTCTTCAATAAGTCCACGAATACCAAAGTATGATTTCGTATCAAATTATTACACTTAACGGCTTATACATGTTCATGTACATGTATATGCTGAATAAATGATAATATACTTTTTTTTTAATTTCCCCAAATTTTTATCCTATTAACTATTTAATCTCCCTTGTTCTTGAACCTTACATTTGGCGTCTAACAGTCCTCCTTTTTCTTAAGGAAAAAAATACCACACATATCTAAGCCTCAATTCTATTACGCTATTATAGTGTAGAATAAATTGACTAGGTTCTCAAGGAGAATTATGGCAGAAGCTCTTTGATCAAATAAAGTCTTCCAGAAATTGATCCTGGTGTAAAGCGATGATGGCTGGGATTGAGCGATATACATGTACATGTCCACTGTACTTTTCATGCAAAGACACAATCGAGTTATAAAAATGGAAATAAAATTCAGTCTCTGGTGGGCTGTTCTGGTTCTGAAGATTGTATGTATATAAGCAGTTATTTGGGGAATGGGAACTTTTAAGGTGTAAAGGACGTTAAGATATTTGTACCTAAATATGTAACATTTGTACTAGTAATACATCATGTCATGGTGTCCCTGCTCCTCCTTCTCCAAATATGATATGCTCAACTCCAGCCCGCGACACGCAGGATATTTTTTTCTGAAAATGTCACACCCTGTGTCTCTTTCTGCCAAAATTTCTCAACAAAGGATCTTTTCATCAAATGTTTTCTTTATTATGGTACAATCAGTATCTTTTCCCCCTACAATAAGTACATTTGTATTTTCTTCGGTATTCTTTTGAAGAGGAAAAGTAAATCGTTGTATTTTACGAGGAAAAATGACAAAAAAAAAAAAAAAAAAAAAAAAAAAAAAAAAA